CACCAGAGCCAGAGCGGGGAGCAGAGCAGGTAGAAGGACCGAAGTACACTGCTGAGGGGAGCAGCGGGCGGCAGGAGAGGTCTGCACGCCATGTGGGACCCTCCTCCGGTGGCCGGGGAGCAGCCAGGGATCGAACCGGCGCCACAGAGGCCGCGGGCAGCTTCGCAACCCAGCGCTCAACCGCTGCGCCCCCGGGGAGGCCCCCCAAATTTCCTTCTATCAATAGCAAATCAATTCACATACCAGTCCGTGTTGTACCTGCATCGTCCCCTAGTTTCCCAACTTAATTTTTACTATCAACATTGTCTGTCTCTCCATTTTATATCTTCCTTAATTCCTTCCACTAGCATTGTGTGGTTTTCAGCATATACCGTACATGATTTGAATTTCATTTTTTATGTAATTGTAAATGCTATTGCATTTCCCAGTTTTATTGATATATAATTGACATATTGTGTAAGTTTAAGGTCCATAACATGATGATTTGATGCACATACATATTGTGAAACGAGGGCCACAGTAGGGTTAGCTAACAGCTCACCTCTGTCAGCTCACATAATTACCATTTCTTTTTCGTGGAGAGGGCATTTAAGGTTTACTGTCTTAGAAACTTCCAAGGATACAGTATAATATTGTTTACTGTAGTCACCATGGCTGTCCTTAGCTCCACAGAATTTATTCATCTAATAATGGGAGAGAATTTCCTTCTCTCTCATGACATTTTTCTCTGTGCATTCATCTGTAGACACTTGTGTTGTTTCCATATCTCATTGAGATCTTTTTAATCTCCTTTGGCTTTATACTTAGGAGTGCCTTACACACCCCTCTACCTCAGCTGAACTGAATAAGCAACCTCCAAACACTCCTGGCCCTGTCTCCACCTCATCCTTTTCTACAAATTTTCTTTTCTTTGAAATTCTTCTACCACCCTTATCCTTCAGTAATGTCGGCCCCATGGGCGAAAGCAAGCACTGCTTTACCCTCAAGCCTTCCCCCAGTCAGCTCCATGTTGGGCAGTGTGCTAAGCAACTGACAGGCATTATTTCTCATGAAAATGGACAACAAAATTATGCAGTAGGAATTATTACTCATCCCACATGAGGATGAGGCTACGGCCCTGCTCAGGTCCTTGGTTTGTAAGAAGCAGAGCTGGGAGGTGAACAAAATTACCAGGGGGACAAGAAGCAGGAAGAGATAACTCAGAAAATTCAACTCAGAGAAACAAGCCTGAACCTGACCCAGATAGCAGCACCGGCAGAAAGCACATGAAAGGAACGCGTCTAAATGGCTTCCATATGTTTGAAAAGTTAAGTAGAGACAGAGAAGATGTATTTCAAAACTCAGGCTTCTAACGGTGAAAACTGCAATGTTTAAGGTGAAAAATAGGCTGGGGAAAATGAACCGCAGCGTGGATGATGCAGGAAAAAAAGTTTAAAGACAGCACTACACACTGCAAAAGAAACCAAAAAAATTCATAAAAAGAGGAAAGCCCCATTGTGGAACTGCAAGGACAAGTTGGAGCAGGCTGACATGCCTGTAAACAGCCTGCAGAAAGGAGGGGGAGGGAAGGTGTCTGAAGATGCAATAAGTGCAAATTGATGATGGACTCTCTAGGATCAGCCGTTCATTCACTGATAATTATGGAGCTTTTGTTAGGTAAGATATTCCAGGTGCTGGAAAACACAAGGGTAAAACAAACATTCCTCCCTTCTCTGCTTTGTATTCTAGTCAGGGGAGAGAAACAAAAGCAGAATGAATCAGTTACATTTTTTATGCGCTGCAGGGTTTCTCCGGGCACTCCTGATATTTGGGGCGGGGAATTCTCTGTCCTGTGCGTTGTAGGATGTTGTAAAGGCAGGACAGGCCACAGTGCAGGCTTTCTGATCCCATGCAGACCGGGTAAAGGAGGAGTCAGAGTCCTCAGTGGTTTTGCAGGTTTTTTATTGGGGTTCAGCGGGTACGTGGCAGGCAGGGGTGCTGGCTGGGGGACTGGGAGGCTGGCAGGCCTCCCAGCCCCCAGCAAGTCTTCACTCTATCTGGGCTCTCTAGCGTTCGTTCTGCTGCTTCTCGGCTTCTCTTTCGGCTTCGGCTTCTACTGCTGCTCCTGGCGTCCCTGTGACTCCACCCTTAAAAAGCACAGTCTTAGCTCAGCTGAATCCCATCTACCCTATTCCAGGTGCCCGCCATCAGGCATGCATTCAGGACAAGGATCCATCATCTATCCTGGTGGCGGAAGGGCAGAAAAGCCTGATATTTTCTTTACCCTACAGATGTTTAGCCGAATCCCAAGTTTTATCATCTATTTGTGGCAACCAAAATATGTCCCCAGTCAGTATCACTTGTTCTGGGGGAGAGAGGAGATTATCCCTGCTTAAGAACCTGTGATGTTAGAAGTGAAATATGCCAGCAAATGAAAAATGAGGCCATTAGGGGCCATAGGATGCATTGGGTGGGGTGAGAGTTATGGCAATTTAAATAAAATAGGGTGATAAGGAAGGACCTCAATAAAACTGTGACATTTGAAGAAAAGACTGGAAGGGAGTAGGTAGAGTGCTCAGCAGGCAGGAATCAGGTGCAAAGACCCGCAGACCCTGTTCAAAAAATAGCAAGAAGGTCACTGGCATTACAGTAGTGTGACCTACGGGTCAGTACAAGAAAAGGGGCCAGAAACTTTACAGGGATGGAGTGGAAGAGCAGCAGTCGCCAGGGATAAGCAGAATTCTGTCATCACCGGGAGAAAGGAATGCTGGACGGGCAAAAGTAGGTAAAGGTTCCACTTGCCAACTGTGAAACTTCTGAGAAGTGGGGGACACTGTGTAAGTATATTCACTCCTCATGAAGACCTTGGCTTTCCAGAACCTGGATTTCATCTCTGTGACATCAAGTGCTACTGCTTGTCACAGATAGGATGTTTGTGTCCCCTCCAAAATTAATATGTTGAAACCGACCCCCAGTGTAATGGTGTTGACAGGTGGACCCTTTAGGAGGTCACGAGGGTGCTGCCCTCAGGAATGTGATTAGAGCACTTAAAGAAGAAAGCCCAGAGCCAGGAGGTGGCCCAGTGGACTGAGCTGAGGTCTTTGGGAGCTTGGGTACTGGATGTGGATGTGGTGGCGTGAAACATTCTGCAGTGGTATGGAGTTGAACCTCTGAATCTTGGGCAGTGTTGTAAACCAACATTACTCCAAAGTAATGCAATAAAGAAAAGATGCTGGAAAGATCATTGGCTCCTTCCATCACTTGAGGTTAGAGTGAGAAGATGGCCGCCTGTGAACCAGGAGGGGGTGCTCACCAGATACCAAATGTGCCCACACCTTAATCTTGGATTTCCCAGCCTTCAGGACTGAGGAATAAATTCCGTTGTGTCCAAGCCACCCAGTCTGTTTGGTTATAGTCACCTGAAGAGACTGAGATGGGCTTATATCTACCCTGGTGTTCAGGCCTAAGGATTTCTAGCACTGAAGATGTTCATTCTGGCCAACCTGGTTAGAATTCCCAGACATGTCCCTCTCAAGTCCCCTGTGTGTCCTCAGACAAGTGTTCTGACCTCTCTGAGCTTCATTTCATGTCTGAAAAATGTTTTGTTGTAATACTGGTCTCCAAAAGTTGTTAGGATTAAATGATGAGTTGAGTAGTTTGCATGTTATACATGCATCATATTTGCCATTGCGTATTATTCTTTTTTTTAAGATTTATTTAATTATGCATATAAGAACTAGGGTACAAGCCAGAGGTGTGGGGGGTGAGAGGACTCACCAGAGTGGGGAACAGAACAGGCAGATTGACCGAAGTTTACTGCCGAGGGGAGCAGCAGGGAGACAGGAGAGGTCTGCTGAGCCATGTGGGTAGCTCCCTGGCTGGATATGGAACTCATGCTGCAGTAACTGCGGACAGTTTCATAGGTTGCGTCTTAACCCCTTGCGCCACCAGGGAGTCCCATTGTGTATTATTCTATAATGAATGATGATATATGAAAATTGGTGGCCTTGTTCAGAATTATATTAGCTTAAAAAAGAGCCAGCACTGTGTACATGCAGTGCTGAAAACATAGTCATGCAACTGAATTAAAACATTATTCTGGTTGGGGGAGTCAATCCATATCTGTTTACACTGGGTTTCCAGAAACTGCCAGCCTCAGAAGAGGAAGCATAAAATCAGGGATTCACAATGCAGTGCTCCCAGACAGGGCAGAGGGATAACCGTGGTTTGGCCCGGCTCTTGGGAGTGGAGATAAAGCAGGACTGATTCAGAATGCATCCAGCCCATCCAGTATACTCCCAGATTCCATCTTACTTGAAAAAACTTGGGTACTTTTTATTTTTTTAAGATTTATTTATTTCTGCATACAAGCACTGGGGTGTAGGCCAGAGGTGCAGGGGGTGAGAGGATTCACCAGAGACAGAGTGGCAATAAGAACAGGTGGATCTACTGAAATACACTGCTGAGGGGAGCAGCAGGCGAGGCAGGAGAGGTCTGCTATGCCCTGTGGGTCAGCCGGGGATCAAACTCATGCTGCAGTGGCTGCCGGTAGCTTCATAGTGCTGAGACTTAACACCTTGAATACTTTTTTAAGATACTAGCATTCACTATGGGGACATCCACAATGGCGGTTGTGGAAAACTCGTGAGAGGTGTCTCTGGAGATCATGAACAAGACATTAGACTAGGAGACCACAGAGATGGAAAATGTGCGCATCGTATATAGTCTCTTTGCACAATTGGGAGAAAGGGTTTTTGTCTGGAATGCAACGTGCGCTGCTGCTTGTTACCCTCTGACACCAACAATGTCCCTCCAACCAACAGCGAATGCTGAGTATGTTAGAAGGGGGGTAGGGGAAGAGTGACTCTCATAAGCTCCTGATTGTTCTATGCACCCGTGGGCAGAAGAAGTATGGCTGGAATTAGGGGGTAAGGGAGAAAGAGAGCGAAGCAAAAACATTACTTGGAGAGTTACATTCAACAAGTACAACTGTGAAAACTCTGTTCTGATCCTAGGACATAGTTGACAGCGAGGGCAGAGGAGGACAGGAAATCGCCGCTTTGAGTGACTCTCTTCCTGGGGACCCAGAAGAATTGGAGGCTGTAAAGGAGGATCCCCAGATAACAAACATAACAGAGAATAATCCCATCATGAGCTTCTTTAAAACGCTGGTAAGTCGTTGCCTTCCTTTGCCCTCCATTGTATTGCTCAATAGTTGTATTAATTCTCCAAAGAATGAGTATTGAGTGCTGTGGTGCTGACATCCTGCAGCTGGAACACTGGAGAACATGACAAGGTGGGCTCCATAAGGAAATTGTATTACATGGGATTCCCCATGAGGGAGCCTGGGGTTGAGAACCCGCTAAGGAGAGGCGCCCAAATTGGGACACGAGCTTTGTCATGTGGGTCCCTACCGCCACGCATGTCTGATGGCCATAGGTCATGAAATGACTGATCAATGGCTCCCCTAAGCTGTTGACCCGCTTGGCCACTCCAACAGCAAATAAAAGGGAACTCACTTTCTATCTTGTTACATCTCAATCTGCCATTTTAATTGGAGGCAGGGGCTGTGTCTCGCCTGGCTGACTCATGCTAACTCTGCCGGGCAGAGTCCACAGTCTGGCTCAAAGCAGACCCTCATAAAGGGCTGAATGAATGAAGGCATCATTCAGACAGCTCTAGATGTGTTTGGGCTGGTTCCAAAAACCAAGACCGACTTCAAAAGGTAAAACAGCAAAAGTCAACAGCACAACCACAAACGCAGACACCAAAGGTCTGTGTGCTTGCTTGGGTCAGGCAGAAATGATGGAAAGGCTGTGGTTTTCTGGGAGACAGTTTTGAATGTGGTCAGGTTCTCTGTGGATGTATAAACCCGGATGCATTTCATTATAAAATATTGATTTAAACTCCTGCATACCTAGTCTGAGGATTTCTACTGAACTCAGGATGTGTCATTACATTCTTTACCTGTATAGTAAACTGAGTCACTCTAAAAATTCCATGTACCTATGACATAAAATCATCCACAAGAGCTATGATTTCTAACTGTTTTTTCTCAAACTTTTCAGGTCTCGCCTAATAAAGCTGAAGCAAAAAAAGATCTGGAAGACCCGGTAGGTGGTTTAAACTATGTTTATGTTTGGGTTTGTATGTAGAGTTGGATTTGGATTTGTTTCTGCTTCTTTGTTGCTGATTTTTTTTAATTTTATTTGTGTGTACATCTATCTATATACTCCTATATATTTATCATTTTAATAGTGTATATATTTATGTATATACAATAATATATAATAATGTATATATTTAATAGGGTATATATTTAGTGTATATATTTATCATTTTAATAGTGCTGTTAGATTGTCCTTAAAATGTTTCATTTATGTTAATGCTATTTTAATGAATATTTTAGTGGGAAGCTTGATATACTTGCCAATCGAAGCTAACTTTCATGTCACAATAATCAATTTCTTATATAGAGTAAGAACAGAATGCTAATAATTATATATCATCTTAGTCTTTTTAGTTGTGTGTAGAGAGACTTAGAGAAGATGGTAAAAATTATTCACTGGAAATGAGAGAGAAGTGAGACTCAATTTAAAGTGGACCTTAGCTGTTATAGTTTTGGTTTTTTTAAAAAGTGTGGTTTGGGTTTTGTATGGAATTTGAAAAAATTCTATGTCCACGAGAAAGGGAATTGTTTGGTGAATTGAGATGGTCACTACTGGACCCTTGCCAGAGGAAGGAAGGGCGAAGGACTTGGGATGCCCGAGACAGCCAAAGTGTTTCACTGTCATCCTAGAAACTCAGCTGGTTCCTCTTAAAGTAACTTTTGTTTGGAACAACTGCTTCCTAGAGAGGTTTTCCCTTCCCACTTGACAGAACTGATTATCTCTAGAAAACACATGGTTCAGATTTCACGGGAATCATGGGGAAAGTCTAACTTAGTGACAAATAAGTGTCTCGTGTTTTTCTTTCAATCACTGCAAGTGCCAAATCAAGGCTTTGGCCAGCCCAATACATCTGCTGTTCGTATTTGGAGAGGCCAACGTAGGAGGGAATCTTAGAATTAGTCTTAGGAGAACCTGCAGACACCCCAACCCTGCCATTCCATAGCCAAGTGCTCCTAACCTGTCTGAACCCAAATCTCGACATCTATAAAACTGGGATAAGGAAAATTCTATCTCCCCAGTCCCAGCAGTGACTGCAGATATGACAATGCCCAGAGGTCCCAGAACTCTATTCAAATGTCTGTATCCCGATTTCCATAATTACCGCAAGGGAGATTGAAAAAGATTACCTTTATATTGATTGGTTCCTCTGGAATATTCTTCTTCCATTGGGGAGAAAAAAACAAAGGGTAGATCTTGGTCATTTACAAATGCTTTCCTATAAAATAATTCATTTGCTCCAGGGCAGCTAAGGTCAAGTTCAATGAATGGTTGTTTCCCTTTTGGGCCTATGTCTTGATTGTTTGAAGTTGCTGAGTCAGCACAATAGGCTCTACAAAGTGGGGGTGGGGGGTGTCGTCTGACTTTCCCAGAGACCAGTTACACCATCTTCAGCAGCTCTGGCACCCAGGCTTTGCCCAACCCAGAATAAGGTCCCAATTCAACCTAGCTAGGTGGTAAAGTTTCACTGTCCTGCTCAGAGTATGGGTCATACCAGTGGAGCTGGGCTGTCCCAAACAATCCTCCCACACCCCCAAACACATACACAGACCTCCTCCCAGACAATCCCCGCACCCCACACACCGACCTCCTTCTACAAACTGCCTCTCATACTTTGCCTTTTTTACATGTTTTCTACTGAAGCTCTTTGACTCATGCTTTGGAAAAATCTACACCACTTGTCTGTCTTCACATTTGGTCCTGGGGTTTTTTAGCACACTATGTACCCCCGCAAAAATCCTTTGCTGTTTGTAACTTGAGTCAATAATTCTGAATGATTGTAGTTGGCCTATTTCAGTTCTGAGGGCCCCCTAACCCCCCCCCCACACACACACATTACACACTCATCCACACACACTCTCATCCACTCACACACATGCATGTGCCCTTTGGCTTCATGGACTAACTCACACTAGAAACTTCTTTTCCCTGGAAGTCTGCCCATCTAGAAGTCAGTAAAAATTGTTGTGGGCCACAGTGCCTCCCCGAAATTTCTGACATGAAATAAAAGGAGATCAGCTTGAGGATGGAAGCCATTCAATGGCAGTATTTGCACTGAGACCAGAATACAAAAATTAATCATTTGTTTTCAGGTATTTTATTCTTTCTCATGGGGTAAAAACATTTAGATACTTGAAACTATCAAGTAGGACTGTGTCTTCTTTCTGATTTGGAACATTTTTTCCTCTGTTGTGTAGTTAGAGCTTAAACGTCCTCTCACTGAGGACAGAAGATGGAGTTGTGTTCACCCAGCTCATTTACAGAGTGCCTTGTGGTAGACCGATGTGTGTGCGGAATGCACTGCCTACGTAGGCACTGTACCAAAGTGTCTTTGAGGGTTTACGAAAGTAAACATTTGTAAGATCACTTGAGGTTGGGGGGTGATACACCAGAGCTTAATTGTGTAAGGGTCTTAATGCACTGAAAAACAACAGAAAAAATGGATTTTGTTTAAAGTCAAAGTTCTAAGCTGTGACTGCTATTGGCCAAAAGGCATCCAAAGCAGAAATTGTCTGTGATGGCCAGGTCGGGCAGAAGATGTCTGAGATCCACGCTAAAGGCACCAAGAAAAAGCACCTGGACAGCCCCAGGCTAGGACTCGCCTTTAGGAAATTCTTTAGGCATAAGGTCTGTATCTTGTTAAACTGGCAGTGAAAAGAACCCTGGTCTCCACCCACATCAGCTGGGGATCCCCCAGCTCGGCTTCTATGAAGACAGAGCCTTGGGTGGTGCGGGTCGTTCAGGGGAAGGTTGTGTGAATCAAACGACAGTGACTTTCTTAAGTCTCCATAAATACAAACATCACCCCATTTTCTTCCCAGTGCGGACCAGGGTTCTGAAATTGTTCTTCTAACCCCGTGTTTCCCAAAGGTCAGAGGTATGCCTGCTGCCGTCATCATTTTTGTCTGCTAGAGTATTTATTTGATATTTTTATAATGAAATAGGTTCATTTCCTGAGTAAAGTTGCCTTTAAAATAAACCTGTATGCCATCATGCATGGGAAGCCAAAATCATGTTTCCTAAAAGGAAGCCAACCTTTCCTATGGCTGATAAAAGAAGGTATCACATTCTGGTTACCTCATTTGTGCTAATCCCCTTATCTACTGCACTTTATAGCTTTTTTAAAAGGCAATTGGTCAGCAATTAAAGACAGATCAGCTCCAGGTGGAGATTTTCCCTCCAAAGTTCTTAGATGGATTAAATGAGAGCTGGGAAAGGATTCACTACTTCACTAGCGGAATGTTATTTAGTATCTCGAATCTCCTCCCGAGCTAAAATCATCCTTGATGACATCAATGGTTTGCTTCCTACACTTTGGGAAATACTGTTCTAACCTCCAAATGACAATTTTTTGCCTTAACCCATGCCCAGCGTTAACTACGTTTATACTAAACCCACATAAGAGCAGAACAAAACCGTGAATGGGGACAGAGCAAGCTCTAGCCATGTCCCAGGGAAGGAAGAACACAGAGATTCAGTGTGGGGATTTCACCCCAAGAAGATACCAATGTTTGGAGCCATGAATTAAAAGCACCCCTGAACTGGGTCGGTATTCATGGAAATTTGTTTGAAATATCAACCACTCTCCACTACATTGAATGAAATTATTAAAATCCCTTCCAGCTGGAAATTAAAGTCCCAGAACTGTGTATGTAAATGACAGCTCCGTAGAAAGTTCTCACGACTGAATCTGTGTTTGCATAAACAAAGTACGTTATGAAGCCACGCTTTAATTCTGCACAGGCTTGTTTTGTTCTGTAAAGAGAGAAGGGGGCGGAGTGATAGATATTACAATGGGGAGAGGAAATAAAATCTCCATCCTGCTGTTTGTGGGAGACAGGTGCTAACTGCTAATGAAGTAAGTCTTCAATCTCGTACAAAGGAATCAGCTGAATTCCCCCATGGACCGTCTGTGACAGGGGCCTTGGGAGTTTAAAAAGTATATGACTTTCCCCCTCAGGTCTGCATTTCATTATGACATTCATGTCATGCGCTGCAAAGTTTCAAATCCCCAGACTCAGTTCCTGTTCACAAGTGGATTCTTAAATTCAATAATCCCTAGAGCTTCCCCAAATGATTAGCCTCAAGTCCTGCCCCTGAGCTGCATTTGGGCGAAGGGTTGATACTGCAATGCAGCACAAGCCTTCCCATTACGCCCTGAGCTGCATTCAGTCTCTTTTTACGTAAAAATAAGGGAACAGTTTCCAAAGGTTCCTAATTCCCCTATTTAGAGGAGCTCGAAGGGGCTCCTTGGCTTTTACCACTGTGCCTAGGACAATTGTTTCCTCTGATTATTCTGTCGTTCAAGGAGATAGAAACATGGCACCATTAAAACCAGCCTGATTTATCAATGAACCTACTCGCATGAATACAGGAAGGGTGATACTCATCCACGACTTCACTGTAACCTAAGACAGGAAGGGAAACATCCACACAGATTCAGGGATAAAACTTGAATTATTATTTTCTTGTTTTGCTGGAAAAAAATCCAATGGTTACAGATTTGGGTTAACACCAAGATTCATTTCTCTATGTCCCAATTTTCCTTTCTATAAAAAGAATTTTCTTCATTTAAGAAAGTGCAGAAACTTGGAGTTCATCCGTGAATAAGTTTATGGTTATGGTTACGAGAAGGCTGTTTACGTTCCAGTGCTGCAGCTGGATTCTCTTGGTTTAATCAGAATCACACTTTTTGCACATCTCCCCCAACATGGGCTGTGACAACATGCTCACAGCTCACACACATGTTCTGGTATGTTTTTTTAGATGCCCACACATGCAGCCCTCCCCACCCAGGTTTCCTGGGAGAACCCCTAACCTTCACCCGCCCCCCAACCCCCGCCTCTGCAGGGCAGCTAAAACACTAGCACCTGGCATTGGGGGTCATGAGCTTTGCTACAGTCACTGTGTTCAGCTCTTGCTGCAATAGTCACACCTTGCTCACTCCTCCCGCCCTTGCACACCCAAAGGTGAACACAAGACTGACACTTACCAGGGCAGCAGGTAAGGCCTGTGCTGGGCAGTCTCCTACTCTAGCACGTTAGAATTTCCTGGAGAGGCTGCCAGACAAATTGCTGGCGCCCAGTTCTGTCCAAGTTTCAGATAAACAGCAAGTGATTGTTTTAGTCGATATCAGTATGTCCCAAACAATAGCTGGGATACACTTGTGCAAAACAATTATTCTTTATTGACCTGAAATTCAAATGTAACAGAGCATCCTGTAGTCTCTTAGTTACTTGCTAAATCTGGCAAGAGATTTCTGTTTTCTGAAAAAAAAAGAAGGAAACCACTAGGTAGAGGACACTTGTCTCTAACTTAATTACGATTCGGAGGTAAACAGCACCACCTGCCTCAGACCACTTGAAACAGGGCAATGCAGAACCTTCTGAGCCCAGCATTCCTGCTCTCGCTCTCCATAAATTGCACAGGTTACTCTAAATCCTGGCATTAAGCAATGTTGTGCACTGTCTAGGATCATTCTAGGATCAAGTATTACTAAAGTAATTACTTTGGTCCTTGATCTCCTGATTCAAACTTAAAATCTGCTCAATAAACGACTCCTGTTAGTATCAAGGGACTCAGCCTCGGGGTTATCAAGGAGTCAGATTCTTGCATCAAGGAGTCAGATTCTTGTCATTTGCAGATGCCCATTGGAGGGGCAGCGTGCTTTGTGGAAGGATGTTAGGAGCACTTGCCAGATGTCAGAAATCCAGATGTGCGGTCAGGCCAGGCCACTCGTTGTGTAGCTCATGCCCTCCGTTTCTTCATCTGTGAAAATCCTGGCATTGGAGGGAATGGTTCAATCCAGCTAATTTACACTTACTTTATACGTAGGTCAGTGACCCCCAAAGTGGGGCATGGGAGGAAAGATTTCTATTTAACTTAGGTTTATGTTGACCCCTCTTTTATTTCAAATTTGGGTCAGTAAAATCATACCTGTTTATAATATAAACAAAACATGCATGTAGTGGAGGTGCGTGTAACTGTTTTGTCTGATGAGCCACGATGAAAGCATGTGAAGATCGACAATCCAGAAGCAAACTAACATTCTTTTTTTTAAAAGAAAAAGATTTATTTATTTTTGCATGCAAGAGCTGGGGGATTGGCCAGAGGTGTGGGGCGGGATAAGACAGAGCAGGGAGCAGAACAGGTGGATCCACAGAAATCCACTGCTGAGGGGATCAGCAGGGAGACAGGAGAGGTCTGCTGTGCCATGTGGGTAGCTCCCTGTCCGGGGATCGAACTCCTGCCACAGTAGCTGCAGACAGCTTCATAGTGCTGAGACTTAACCCCTGTGCCACCAGGGAGGCTGCAAACTAACATTCTAACAGCAAAGTGCCTCTTCCCGTCACCTGGACTGTTGAGTTACTCCCGTGAGCAGGACAAACAATGGTTCTATATACTTGTTCCCAAAGGAAAAGATCTTGGCTTTTCCCAAGACTTTAACACAAATCCATATTCATATTAAAGTATTTGGAAACTACAAAAAGATGTAAAGAAAATGAGCATATATATAATCCCAGCCCACGTTTATTTAAAAAAGGCATTTTCATGTTTGCAATCTTGAGATGATTTTGAAATGTCTTAATTTTATAGGGTGCTGAAAAGCCACCCGCCACTGCAGCGGACCTCAAGTCAGACAACGTCAACTTTGCCCCCCAGGATACTCAAGCAGCTGCCAAGAACCCTGCAGCCACTGAAATAGCAAAGGACGGTGCCAAGGAAAAGGGTGCCGCCACCCCTCTGCCACTGGCCAAAATGTTTTGGAAAAAGGTAAGCGCTCTTTTTGGGGATTTGAGGGGCATTTGGGATGAAGATGACTTGAGAAATGCTTTCTTCGCGGCCCATTGAGATTCTCGGCAGTGTATAAATTTTCTTCTTCTGCAAAATGACTCAACTAGCCATTGCACCAAAGACTTGTGACCTACTCCGGGGAGGGATGAAATGCCTCTCGTGACAGAAACAGGTTTCGTGGGAAAGGAAAGGAAATGAACAAGTGGAATTTTTCATTCTTGGAATTATTCCCGCTTATGAGAGGGTTGTGGTATTTCTCTCACGGTTTCCTTTCTCTCTGAAATGGAGTCTTGCCGTGGCTTCCGCCTGGCTCCTCTGAGTGCTCTCAGCTGGGTGCTGTCTCGGCCCCAGCCAGGGGGAGTCAGACATTATGAAGTTCTGGGTCTCACCCTCCTTTGGGAAAGCCTGGGTGTCCTCCAGGCCCCCACCTCCCCAGTGACAGGGACATTCACACACTGTCTGATCGTGTCCCCCATAATGAGGGTGTCCCACGAGGACGTGGTCGGTGGGGTTGAGTAATTCTGAGAGCTATTCCTTGATCACCGCTGAGCAACCCCAGCTGCCCCACATGTTCCGAGCTATTGTCTGTTTTAAATGAGGCCAAGAGATGAGCAAGAAGTCAGGGCGAGGAGGTGGGGTGTGATTCACAGAGCTGGAAAAATCCGACTTCATAATGTCATGGAACATCCAGTTGGCACCCGAGGAAGGCAGGCGTCAGCTCAGATGCTGCTCTGCTCTTCGTGTCGCTCTCTTCTCCAGAAGCTGACTGGCTTTCTGAAATTCTTTCCTGTTGTACAGAAACTTTCCTTCTAGATTCTGCCCAGAATGTAGTGACACTTAATGAAAACTTTGGATGATGTCATTTGTCATTCTATTCTAGTCCTCCCTGCCTGCCAACATGTTCTCTGCAGTATAATGTAGGGAACAATTTCAAAGCTAGTTACATTCAGGTACTGGTGACAAGGAGGGTGACGTTGGTGACCCGTATTCAAACACTTTCATCTGAATAAGCAGGTAGAGGCAGATCGACGGGTACATCTAGAGGTGTATAAGTGCAAAGTGCTTTAGGACATACAGAAGCAGCACATTATTGATTGCACATCTATTTTGCTCAAGGTGAGGATGTGGATTTGGTTTAAAAAGTAATCCAATGAAGGAAAACCTGATGTAAATAAATAATGGTAGTGCTGTACGCACATAATGGCAAATGGGGGTGGGGGGTCTTCCGAGCAGCAGAACCAAGACAGAACTGACGTGCCAGAGATCTGCTGGACAAAGCCAAGAGGGGAGCGGGCAGGGCCGCAGAGAGAAGCCTGTAGACGCAGAGGGTCTGACACCTGTGAAGGGAAGGAGGGAATGAAGGAGGAGCGGGTGGGAAAAGCCTCAGACCCAGGATGGTGCTGGGCCAGTGGGGGATTCCAGAGCAGAACTTGTCCACTCGGGGTGCCCGGCCCCGTCCATGGTGGCTCGCTGCTGGGAGCAGCTGGGGAGAGCACCCCCAGGGAGCATCACCCAGGACGCAGAAGGCGGAACAGTGGGCTGTGCTCCTCCAGGGAAGTCCGAGCAGCGCGTGTCCGTGGCGCCACAGAGGGGGCAGATGATATGGCCAAAAGGAAAAAATGACCAAAGTTTGTGGAACACTTTTACTTACAGGGTAAGAGTTTGAAGTGGGACAGATCTGACTGTGTCTACCCCTGTAGCTTCAGTTTCCTCATTTGGAAAATGCATATCACACCACCCAGGGCACAGAGGTGGAGCGAGAACCCAGTGGAACACTGGACAGGCCTGAAAGTGGCCCATGTCATCTATTGCTGTGCTCGGGAGGGTGGGCGCTGACTGCACACGCTTCTTGGTCTCTCGGAGCCGCCCAGTTTGGGGGAGCCACCAAAACCACCAGCCTCAAGTATTTTACCTTTTCTGAGCTTTGGGATTGATGAGGATAGGTTGGTTTCTCTTACAACCTCAGGCCCTTCCCACCCCCAGTGATAAACCTGTTGGAGGTTTGTCTTTCCAATGGTAGAATTACATCCGTCTCAACTTTTTGTTTTTTTTTTTTACCATTATTTGACTATTTGTTAGTAGACTATAAAAATCATGAGGTTAAGAGAAACCACAACCAAATCTTCTGTAAATCTTCCTTATCCTTCTTTTCACCTCGGCAGGAAGAGTAGGATTCAGTAGTATTGCTGGCCATGGTCTCTGCGCTGGGTTCTTGTGTGCAATGCTGTGTTCTGAGCACTGGGCAGCGAGCATGAGGCTGCCCTCCTGGAGCTTACATTCTCAGAGTTGTTTATGGAACAGAGTAAGACCTCTGCAGTCTTTGAACTGGAAGAAGTTTGGTTATATAATCAATCTCGTAAAAATTTTGAAACACAAAGACAAATGTAGAAAGTGCTGATCATTTTGCTAGCCAATCCTAAGAGTTTGCCTTCTCTCTTAATTGATAAGATCTTAAATGAACTGAATTTGAAGTTATGAAACAACTCTTTCCCCTGGAAAACTGTGGTTCTGAAATTATGTTATTTTTATAACTTTTTTATGACTCTAAGTTATTTTGACTGTACGTTACTTTATTGCTGAAGTTGTCCTTCTTATAAAACAAATACAGAAATAGCCTTTGAGAAAATTAATTTTTAATTATGTTGTACTTGGCAAAAAATGTTTACATTCTACATACCTGGACTAAATATGGCTCCCCCTGTTGTGAATTCATCCGGGTACCGTTTGCTCTGTGACCTTTTCAAAAGTGACTTTCCCTATTTGCGCTTCTTTTCCTCATCTGTTGAATGAACATTGGGCTAGACGGTCTTCAAAAATCTTGTATATGGCAAGTGTTGAATTCTGGGCAGGATCGGGAAGGTGGGGCTGTGTAATCTTGGGCAAATTACTTCACTGCTTGGAGCCTTGATTTTCCTATCTGTAAAATGGGACCATGCTTATTTTAGCGTTATTATGAGAAACATACTAAATACTCAGTGAATGGTGTTACCATTTCGTCACGTATGAACAGTCAGGGGTCATGGTCAAAATATCCACGTGTGGCTTCTGCCATCCACAGCACCCTGGGCTCAAAACACGCCTCAGGCCCATTGGCTACTGTGAAAACACTTGAACTTCACTTGGAGGAACAAGATCAGTGCACATGAAAACACATACATGCACACATGTGTGTGCACACAACTAGAAACTGCATTTGGAATCTCTTCAAAGTAACTCTTCTCTCCCCTCTTTGAAGGAGAGAAATGAGTGGAAAAGAAATGTGAACTCTGAAGCCAAAGAGACGTATCTCTGCCAGGCCAGTCACTGGCTCTGTGACCATGAGTGGGTCACTTAAACCCTCCATGCTTCGGTTTGCTCGGCCTCACAGGTGGCCACGGTCCGCCTCCCGGATGACAGGGGGGCACCAATGCAAGCGACTGGCTGAGGCGACTGAAATTTCCATTTTGGAAGGATGAGGGCTACAGTCCTGCGTTAATGGGATGCAGGTTACAGATGCCCTGGGTGTCTAGCAAAGAGGTCCCCAGTACACCCCAATTCAAGGGTAGCCAAGTGCTCTAGTCGCCACCAGGAGCCTACTGAGCAGCACTGCTCTCCTCGGACCCAGCTGGGAGCAGCTCACCTGGAATCCTTACCCCGCTGGGGGATTCTCTTTCTGGAGACGCTTTCTTGAAATGCTTATTTCTGCCCACCCCATCCACCCTGATGTCTAGAAAACACTGTAGATGCTGAACCGTAATTACAGAAATGGTTCCAGCGCTCCAGCTCTGGCGTGAGTAAGTGTCTTTACACAGGTACTGGGAGGAGCTGTGGGGCTACCAGGCGGAGGTGACCCAGCCCCCCTTCAGCATGCATGGCCTTCCCAGGCTGGATTTCTGGATCCTTTAAACAAGCTGTGATCCTCAGTCTAACAGCCCATCTTTGGAAGGATGGACGGAGGCTCAGAGACCGGTGATTAACTTGCCCAGGGCCACACCAGAGCTAAGAAAGAAGGTGACTTGGCTTCACCGGCCAAGATGCTCTAGACCTGGCTTCTGGGTGGGTTTTCTCTTGCACAGGCTCAACACTATTGGCGCCCTGGCTGCTCATTCTCTACGAGGGAACTTTGCATGAGAGGGGCGTGTCCGCCACCCCAGTGTGAAGCTCCACTCACAGGCCTTTGACTGTCATACAAAATGGCGGAAGGAGTGAGGATGGTTCTGGGACCCAGCCCTAAAGCTATAATTGGTCTCGGTGAAGTGAAAAGTCACCCATTCGCCCTTCTGCTCCTGTTTCTCAGGTGACATGAAGAGGAATGTGTCTTCTTGATCTTAAAAGAATTTTTTTACCACAGGAACATTTGCTGTTTTCCCTTTTTACCAAAGACTTATAATCACGACTTTGTGAATGGTGGTGTTTTGCCCAAGCACAGTTGTTTCACTACATTCTTTTATTTACAGCAAGGATGTGGATGGCACATTCACCATAATAATAAGCTGTTTTCTTTTAAAATGTATTTAAGTGAAAGTTGATTTTTGAAATCAAAAGGTTGATTTTTGAAAACATACCAAGTACATAGAGGGGGGACGTGGAAAAGTGAAGAAACAGAAAAATTGTCTACAAACTGATAAAGTTTGAAAAATGCTCAACGAGACTCATTCCCAAGATAAGTCGGGCTTCGCCTGGGTAATATACCTTGGAAAACATGAGTTAGCAGCTTCTTTTGGAACAGATTCGATGTGCAATGCCAAGTGTTGAAACATCAGAAAGATCTGGAAGTCTGGAGCGGTAATGAAGGCCATGGACACGCCAGGTTCAGAAGCAGCCCCTTCCATCCCCAACATCCAGTTCCCAGTTTCCTCTGGAACTGCGTGAGCAGCAAATGGCCAAGAACTTTCCAGACACAGGAAACCAAAGATGCAAACTGGTCTCATTACAACCCACCGGAACAGGAAAGAGGGTTTGGAAAACTGAAAATGCTCTTCTGACATAGACAGCCCTGCACCTAATGAAGGCGATCTGTTGACTCTTGAAATTTTTGTGGGTCTCGTTGGAAGAGGTCTGACTTATAAAATACTGGTTAGTTGCTTGCAAGTTCTAGTATTAAAAAGCACCCTAAAAAGCTGGGAGAAGAGGTACAGAGTTCCAAGAACTCTGATTGCTTGAGAATACCTTTCAGTCAGAAGCTTCCAGAAAGCCCCTGGTCCTTTCCAGGGACACATTATGGCTGAGTAAGCTTCTTCACTGGAAGAGGAAGATAAACAGAAAGAAATGGTCTCCCTGGCTCTTGTCTAGGGAGAAAGCAAGTCTGTAATAGTGGGGCTCCTGTAATCCCCCAAAAAATGTCATCATGGAAGTTGTCGTGGGAGAGGGAAACTTGGCTCTCAGAGCCATTTCCACCGCATTGCAGTGTATCCCCTGGAACAGGTAGCTTACCTCTCTGCACCTCCATTTCTTGCTGGAAATGAGGATCTCCATGCTGACTGCTTGGGGCTACCGAAGAGAAATGACATACACTGAGTCCTTAACGCAGAAGACGCGTTTGCAGGTGTCAGTCCTTCCGCACCCACTGGATTTTTAAAGGTAAAAAATAAAGGCAGGAATTGGAGCAAAACAGGGAGGAGATCTTAACCTGGAATCCAAGGAACACGGGGTCTATGAACACCCTGCAATTATTTGCAAAATATTTTATTTTCCTGGGAGGAGGGTTCACCAGTGTCAAGGGAGTCCTAAAGTCACCTCCACAGGTGACACTCGGGCAGCTGATGGAATGACTGCCCTGAGTTTTGATGGAGCTGGATCACTCTTCTGCTCAGGACTGTACTCTCTGCTACATTTATTTTGGGGAGCAACAGTGCTTGGAGCTGGATGTGTTGGCCTCCAGCTTTCTGACTCTTCAGAGATGTGTTTTAACCAAACCTCACTTTGATAGGATGAAATCGACCCAAATTTCGGGCTCATGCAGGAAGCAGCTTCGGATGCTGGCACACCATGGTCAGGGTGAGGCTGAGGACCCCACTAATTACAGCCGTGCCTGCTGCCTCCATGAGGGGCCTGGGGGGCATTTCCCTGGACTTGCTACCAGAAATTTCCTAAGCAGCCCCTTTGTTTTCACCTAACAATATCTGGGTATGTTGTGACTGATCCCTTATGTCCCTGTTTGTCAGTTACCAGAAGATACAAAGGCAGATGTGTTGCTGGCCCACACCCAAGACTGTGGGTTGTGTTTTCTTTCTTTCTTTTTAATTGCATTACTTTTATTGAAGTAATATTGGTTTACAGTACTACATGATTAGAGGTACAGGTTCACCCCCCTTGAGATATATGTCTCCAAACACACCCACCTCCCAAGCATCCTTAATCCTCCACCCTGGTCCACGCAGCCCCTTCCCCTTGGTGGGGTTTGCATTCTCCATAGCCACCCCCTCTCCTGGCTCCATTTAGATCCTGGCTGCACCTGGAGATTCCTTTTCTCTTTATTGCATTTTAACAGGCATCATTTGTATTATCTTGTGCTGCTGTTCACTTGTCTGGGTCTCTGTCAAGTTCCTTTGGAACGAGGTTTACAGAAGCCATGACCAAGATCGCGCCGGAGGGCTGTGAGCCCAGCTAAGCCTTCACTTTTTGGTAACATCCTGACTCTTTATTTTTATCTCTCTTTTAGTCAGTTAAAGAGGAATCAGTCCCCACAGGTTCAGAGGAGAATGTAAGTTACGTGTTTCATGACAGAATCATTCCATTCTCATCTTTGGCACCTTGGGCCCTGGGCATTTCACCTCTGGGATCCTGAGTTCTTGCGTGCTCCAAGTGTGATCCATCTGCCGTAGACTCTTTCAACCTTTTTCGGGATTAGGGGCCACCGGGGAATAACATTGGATGAATATTTGTAACTGGAGAGAGGCGAACTAAATGCAAAACCAGAGCACACGTTTTTGTGATTTCTTAGCCTGCAGGGGTTGAAAGAGTCTACGAACCATGAGACATCTTTACACTTTCTTAAGACACAATGACGCTGCAGCCTCTGCTTCATTCTACCTTGATTGCTCTTTCATCTTGATTTCCATGGCAACCCCATTCTCTACTAACTGTGGGCGGTACCGGCAAAGGTAGTTGCATCAGACGCGGCATCCTGCTGCAGTATTGCTGTGACTGGTCTTGGGCTGGAGGGCGGACTTTGTGAGTCTACACCTGAGCCTCCCTGGTTTTTTGGGTGTTTTTGCCTTTGATCTTCTGGAGTCAAAATGTTCAAGACAGTGCATTCATGTCTGCAAGAGGTGGCTCTGTGGGAGACACACAGAAATGTAGCTTTCCAAAACACCTTCCAGGGAGATGAATAAACTGGCCTGCTGAGTTTCAGACTCTGCTTTGAAAGTACAGTCTTTGGAAAATTTTATAAGCGGGATGAGTGAATTCACAGGTCCTTAATATAGAAGCTGATATTTATCATTTTGCCAAAGCAAAATATGTTTGGCTCTTTCTAGGTGTCTCTCATTTACTTGCCATAGATGGGGCTTGTGTTTTCATTTTAATTTCATTGTTGGAACTGAACAGATGTTGAAGAGCCAAAAAAATTCCAGAAATGTTGTGGTAGGGAATGAAAATTAGAAAGACTATGTCATTATGCGTGTTAGGAGAAAGATCTTTGAAATCTGCTTTGTTGTTGTTGTTGCTGTTGTTTTTCTTTCTCTCCCTCATTCCTCATTTCCCTTCCTCCCTCATTCCTTTCTTCCATTTCCTTCCGCTCTCTCCCTCTCCCTTGAGTCAAAATTTATAGCTCAGTCAAGCTCATGTCTCTCATAATTCCAGAAAATTCTGGTGAATTTATCAGTTTTACCTGAATTTATCAATTTTTAGAGAGCCAAAATCTCCATTTCAGCAACCTGCAAAGAGAAAATCCTTTACATTTAAAAGCTGCAGGCCCAATCGGAAGCACCAGTTAACTTTGAGCTTCCCAGCTCTCTGAGACAAACCTTCTTTGGGGACAGCAAGCAAAGCTGCCGCCTGAGGAGTCCTGAGCCTCTCACAGCTCACACTTTTCTCCTCCTAATGCACAATTTAAAACAGAAATAGGAACATGACATAAAGCTAAGTTATTGATGCCAAAAGATAGCACAACACCTGGTGGAGAGTGAAAGAAAGGAAACTATTTTCCCAAGAAAGTAAATGGGCATTACAAAAATTGCTTTACATTTGCCTGACAATTAACATTTCTATTCTTAAGTTTCAATATTTAATCACCTACAGAGTATTCATTGGAAAGAATGGGTCAGAAAAGCTTGCCCCATTGTCCCCAGACTCTGACACTTTTCGGGCCTCAGTTTACTCACTAAGTGGGCATAATAATAATACCTACCCCATAGGTTTCCTGTGAGAACTGAAAGAATAATGCAGGTAACGTAGCCCCTCTGTGCCTGAAACCAGGGAAGAGCTTGGCAGTCCAGGAACTTGCAGACCACCCAGATGGGCCAAGTCTGACCCTGTGAACTAAAATGGATGTGAATGAACAATGATGTAAAAAAACTTTAAAAATTAAAAAATGAGAGATTTAAAAAAAATTTAAAAATTTTAAAAAAGAAACTAAGAAAAACACAGAAAATAAAAGAAGGATGTGGAGATTCTTGAATGGTTGAAAACAATTAAAAGAAGAACGACTATTTCATACATACAAGTGATAGGACATTCAGATGTGTGATTATGAATAAAGTTTTATTAGAACAGCCACACCAAACACAGCCACATGCATTTCTCTGCCCCGGCCTTGGATGCTGCTTGGGGGCTACAGGAGCAGAGCTGAGCAGCAGGGCTCCTGGAGGGAAGTGTTGGCCGCCCCTGCAGCAGCTGTCAGTGCCCTGGGTCGTGAGTGGAGTGAGCGCTCCCCTGTGATCAGTGGTCACGCACCTCACAGCCAGCTCAGCGCCCCCTGCAGGAAAGGCACATGCACTGCAATCAGCTTAATCTCCTCCCACACGGGAGAGATGGCTTTTACCAAAGAGTATCAGATACTCCACCCTCCAGAGCAGGACAAGTAGCTTTGATTATATTACAAGAGGATTTTTGTCCATCTATTGTATTGATTTTTTTTTTGTTCAATTATTTTTATTGAGGTGATGCTGGTTTTCAACACTGTTTATGATTTAGGGGAACAGGTTCACACCTCTTCAGATGTATGCCACCACCCCACACCCACTAGGGTCATCGTCCTCCCTAGTCAATTGGGGGCCCCTCCTGACTTGCTTCTCCTCCTTGTGCTCCCCCTCTGGTAGCCTCAGTTCTGTAGTCAGATCGGTAGGGTTTGTTTTGGTTTAGTTTTGTCTATTGCTTTGTTTTGTTTCTTTCTGTTCCTCACAGGAGTGAAATCCAGGAGTCTTTTAACTAGCAACTTCTGGTTAAAATATCATTGAGTGCGTTTTTAAAAATAGCTCTATGGAAAGTTTCCAAAACCAAACTATCAGTCCCTGCAAGTTCCTGTATTTTTACAAAGCAAAGGAGAGAGTGATTTCAACATTTCCCAACATTTTTCTTGGAAAAAAAAAATCGGCTTTGGGGCCAATTGGTAGTTTAGTGCTTTTTTTTTTAGAATGTGCTTCTGGGGCTGTCAGAAATGCCATCTATTTTTCTTACAGTAATGATCGGATCCATTAGCTGTAATCTGAAAATGTTTGGTCATTGTTTAACTGAGTTAACATTGTAATCAATGAGGCAGGGGGAATTTTTCCTCCTCACTGACTAAGAAAATAGGTATTTCTGTTGTTTATCTCTTTGTAAGCAACCTTTCAGCACAAAAGAAAGAAAACTCAAGTCAAACTGGATGAAAAAGAAAATAGCTCTTTTTGGGTCTCAGCACTAGAAAGTAGAACTGGTGTCAAATGAAGTTTGACTCAGATTTCTCCCTTAGCTCAGCCTTCCTGGCCTGCTTACATTTTCAGCCTCCCATCATCACACTACCCAGTGCAGAGATTACGCCATTAGAAACCCTGACCTCTAGGGATTGGTTCTCTCTCATTTTCTCAAATGGATTCATGTGTTTCATTAGTCAGCTTCACCAGGTTGTGGTACAATAACAACCAGGCCCAAATTTCAGTGGCTTTCAAAGCCAAGATTCTTTTTTTTCTCACTCATGCTGCATGTTAGCTGTTAAGTTGGCTGTGACTGAGTCACAGGGCCTCTCCCTGGGATCAGGACTGGGGAAGCAGCCCCTTTAGTCAGAACACACAGTGGTCGTGTCAGAGAGAAGTGGTATCAAGCTTCCTCTGGGTTGTGGTTTAATAATGTATCCTTACACTACATTCTCCAGCAAGTCACCCAGCTGTGGGTATGACATACAATTCTTTTACAGGAAGGCAAAGTGAGTATTGGGGGGAGAAAAAATCATACATTCTGCCACCCTGAACTCCTATGATCAGAAGGTACAGCTTGTTGGTTGGACAAGACCTGTTCAGTTGGCTTCAGCCAAATTACATGACCTTATAGCTAAAAGAAGATCCTTCCCCCATAGAAAAATGGACACTCTGTGAAGCTAGAGAGAGAGAACAGTTATTCAGTAGAAAAATAAAATCTCGGGCCTCCCCGGTGGCGCAGCGGTTGAGCGCTGGGTTACGAAGCTGCCCGCGGCCTCTGCGGCGCAGGTTCGATCCCCGGCTGCCTCCCGGCCACCGGAGGAGGGTCCCACATGGCGCGCAGACCTCTCCTGCCGCCCGCTGCTCCCCTCAGCAGTGTACTTCGGTCCTTCTGCCTGCCCTGCTCCCCTCTCTGGCTCTGGTGAATTCTCTCACCCTCCCGCGCTTCTGACTGTACCCAGTGCATGTGTAAACAGAACAAACAAACAAAACAAATAAAGAAAGAAATAAACATGCCTCTATAAAAAAAAAAAAAAAAAAGGAAAAAGAAAATCTCTACGAAGTCTTTGTAGTCAAATAATCATGTTAAAAATCAACTCAGAAAGAATCTAAAAAAGAGTATGAAATAATTTTTTTTAATCATTATTATATGGTAGGTGGTTTAAGTGGATGAAATCTATTTTTGCTACATATCCGTTTCCAAAACTCACAGCTCTAGCAAAAAGACATAAAACAAATGTCAAGGGTAAGTAAAGTACAACAGTTACGGGTAAATGTGAAACCTTTGCCTGAAATACGTAAATGCACTATTTTCATGCAAAGTATAAAATCCCCTACTGAAATCAAGAAAACAGGATTTAATTCTAAAATAGAGCACAAATCTGATTTTCATTATGTCCATCGTACCCAAAATCAAAATGAGTAGATGTAGTCATGTATTCTAAATAAGGAATGGCTTTGTTAAAAGCCCTGACCTGGAAGGAAATAGGAAAACAATCAAATCAGATTCATATGTTTATATATGCAAATAAGCTCCTTACTTAGCTCCAATACTTGTGAATTTCCACACTGTGTTGGTGGATTTTCCTTGGCTGCTGAAAGCCAACTTCTTGGTCTGACATCAAAGTCAATGGGAGTCTTTAGAAGTACCCCCACAACCTTTTTGCCTACCGAAATGGCTGTCCTTTGATGAATGGACTGTCACTAGGATTTATGACTTGACACCTCTCAGCATTTGGAAAGACCCAGCAAGAGAACCACTGGCAATCAGATAAAGTTGATTTACAAAGTGATTGCCATACAATCTGATCATTTCATTATGTCAAATTCCCTCCAGGCCCCTTCCCTCCCCCTAAAATAAACACAAAAACTTGTTACTTCAAAGACAGAATAATTCTGAACTCAGAGTCAATGAGTCAAACTGTTCACTAACTACCCAAGGCCCATTTTCCTTTCTTCCATCCTTCTTCCTTTATCTTTGGTAAGGTTGGCAACTGTCATATGCTGAAAGTACTTGGTTGTGAGTACTGTGTCTCAACCAGTAATCCCATGTCCTTCACCAATAATTAGTCTAGAGATAAGGACATGACCACTGGCCAATGAAATGTGCCCTGAAATAGGGGAACCAAAATGAAGAACTTCATTTGAACAAATCTTTCCTCGTTTGGATATTGGGCCAAGGATGTGATGCCTGGAAATGTGGCAGCTACTTTATATCCATGAGGTAACCAATAAAAGAATGAAAATCCTGCAAGCCAACAATGGCATAGCCAAAGGATAGACTCTTTCTATCCTTTGTCTTCTTAGGGTCATTATAGAACAACTGAACCAACTCCAAAACTCTTACTTACAAACTTCTTATTGCTTCTTTTTATTGGTTAAGTAGCTATTGGATATCCAATTACCAGTAGACAATTCCATTCTCATTGATATGGCTACTTGTGGTGTGATTTTGGCCCAATCATTCAATCAGTCAGCTTTTTCATAGATAAATAATATTATCTATAATGTTATCCACTATGAGCTGTCTTTTGTAACTTAGTAACTATTTACCAAAGTAATATATTAAAAGTTCTTTGCAGAATATTGGGCATAGTAAGAGGTGTTAATATCATCTCTAAGGAGGTGGCTGTTAATATCATCTCTAAATAAACATGTACATAGTGGGTGATTCCAGATAATTCCAGATAGAGCAAGTAGTTCTCATAGTACACAAGTAACAACCACTAGCATTGATTGAGTTTTTATTATGTGTCAGACTGTTGGAAGAACTTCACATGCATTGCCTGATTTAATTCTCAAAATAATTAACTGCTGTCTCTATCCGCATTGAGCAATGAGAAAACAAAGATTCAGAGAGTAGCAGCCGCCTTGGTCTACAGCTTTTGTAAGGAACAGTCAAAACTTAGGCCCAGACAGGCTCCCTCTAGAAGCTGCCTTGTAATCAACACATCGTCAGCCTGCGTTTCAACTTTACCCCAGGGCTCTTATGGCCGAAGCTACATTTTTCAGAAATGCAACTGAATGACACTGACCTAGTTATGGAACTCCACATTCACAGCAGACTGCCGACCCCAGACTTTTATTTGGCTCCAGTCTTTGCCTGGTTTCCGGATTGGCCTGAGTCAAAGACCTGAGCCCAGCCTCCCCAAAGCCCAGTGCTGTGTTGGACCTGTCCAGTGTTTTCCCTACCACTGTCCCTTGTACGCTTTTCAGCCTTTCTCCTGTCCCTCTCTCTCTTATTCTCAGAAACCTCACTTTGTTAGTGTCTGCTAGTTTTTTTTTAAGTATTTTCTTTGTTGAGTTGTTTGCTATGTGCTCATCCAATATTTGTCTCAGTCATTCTGACCTGCTTTACTACACATCATTCCTTCAGACTCCTTCCATGCTGCTGTCGATGGCTACTACTGCTTTCTTTAGGGCTGAGTAGTACTCCACAGTGTGGACAGGCCTCCTGCATCCAAGCCTCTCTCAGTGGCTCGCAGGTGGTTCCCCTGTCCCTGCTGTTGTAACTAGCACATTTCCTTAAGGCCATCCTCATAGGGATAGGGCTGCTCCTGATTTTTGCCTTGGCCAGGTGTAACTTAGATTCATGGTCCTACCGCCTGGATGAGCAGGCTCTGAAGGGTGGTCTCCAAAAGGACTTCCTCGCTAAGCCTTTACCCACAGGGGGCAGGAATGTTGCCACTTCCAAGTCCATCCGTCCGGCAGTGGTTGAGGAATTGGCTCTGGGAACATGATCTATGACGTGAATGACACTTCTTGAAGTTGCGCTGTGGGGAACAGTCACAGATTCAACCCACAGCTACTATGTGGAGGGCAAGGCGACTAGGATCCCACTTTACAAAACATGTTTCGGGGGACATGCTTTCTTTTTTACTGTCTCATTACCTGGCAAAATAATCCAGGAGGTGTGTGAATCGCCTGTAGAGGTTGTAAAGTCCCAAGAAGCAGAATCAGCCTTACAGACGGTGGATCTCAACGAAGATGGGCATGCTCCCCCCAAGCCCGCAGAATCAAAATCCAAAAGAGAAGAAGGCAAACCACAGAAACCTCCATCCTGGCGTTTTTCAGACAAATGGTAAGCCGCTTGCTTCCAGCCCAGTAAGTCCTCACTTACCACGGTCAATAGGTTCTTAGAAATTGTGATTATAAGCAAAGTGCGGAATCACGAAATCAGCTCCTTGAGTAATGACATTTTGTGCAGCATCCGCTGGGAGTCTTTTCCTCATCAATGTTTTAATGAAATGATGTTATTCAAGGACCTGCTGTACAGGAAAAAGGAAAGACCTAGAACACAGCTTCCAGGGACAAAGGACCCTTGTGAGACTCGATAGTAGATTGCATGTGTGGAACGTGAATGAAAGATGCGTACGAATTGTCAGTGAGAGGATTTATTCAATTTATTCAATCACAAGGAAATCTCAGCTGATTGCTAATGTCCCTTAACCTCTCTTTAACCCCATGCTAACTCCCTTTTGATAGAGAAAGCTGACTTTGGGTCTTGAGTGAGGGCAAACAATAGCATCCACCGAGAAGTGGCTATGACTTCTTACTTCACTTTTTATTTATTTTGTAAGTTTTCCTTCTGTTTATGTAAATGATACTGCAGTTCTCATGCTGGTAATGATAGGCGGTTTCCTTTGAAAATACATTTACTACATAAAGAATATAAGGCATTTTTTAAAGGATTGGTAATACATAGTCCGAGTTATATATTGATTTTGGAGAAATTCTGAAGTGATGTGTGAATGACACAGTTTGGACAGGGCCGATTTATTAATTCAATAAGGAAATGACAACATAATCTTCTAATAATAATGAACATGCAAATATGGTCGGTGAATTTGCCATGCCTTTAGTTATATCGAAGGAGAGAGTGTGGGCAGGCATCTTTTGGTGCCTATCAAGAGTCTTGGTACATTCATATAGCTAAACACCAGAACTTAAATCATACCAACGCAATAAAAGCCAAAAATTTGGTTAGAGACAAAAAACAAAAACTCCTGTAAAAGGTC